TGGGCTACACGCCTACACGGGCATATGCCGGGGGGCCAGCCGCCTGCAGCATGCCAGGCTGCTAGCAGCGCTTTGACTGTCTAAAATGGATGACCCGTATGGGCATCCAAAACCAAAATAATAGATGGCCTATAGGCACCTAAAACCAAAATGAATCTTGAATGGTGCTGTATCAACCTTCAACAGAGTATATCTATATGCGAGACCCATTTTGAGTTACAGCAAAGGCACAACCCAAATATAAGTATCCTATCTTCTGAAAACTCATTTGCAAAAAAAGTTCTCTTTTGAGTCATATTGTTGGAGAAGACAAAAAATAAGTATTAAACTCTTTGTCTGTAGCGCTACCCAAACATGAAATATGTCTTATATTTTAGGTCATGTTGTTGACGATAGCCTTAGGCAAGAGCTTCGTGTGTGTAGTGATGCATATTCGATCTATCCTGGATTTCTCAAAATACGAGATTGGCTCAGTCATTCCGTTTTCAACCAGTATTGCTATATGTCAACCGCGCATTATGGACAGAAGGATCGAACTCATGCACGCTGTGGCGTCCGATCCGGCTCACCTTGGAGGAAGGCTCCCGCTCACCGGCACCGCACCGCCCGGACGCCGACTGTAGGCACCGGCCTCACTATGCTGCCGCCCCCTAAGGCCAGCCGTCCCCCGCCACCCCCAGGTCGGTTGTATACTGCCTCTCCCTAGCACCGGTCACCCTCCTCCGCCGCCACCCCCAAGATGGCCGTCCACACTACCTACCCCCCCCCCCCCCATGGGCGGCTGTCCTCACACGCCCGGCACCAGTGTCGTTGCTCCTCCTCCGCCACCCCTAGCGTGAGCCCCCCCTCCCTAGTTGCGAATTTGTTTTTCCCCTGAAATTTGTGAACAATTTGATGATATTTATAAACAATTTGACATATATTTCTCTGCTGGAATTCACATAAATAATTTGTAAAATTTTCTAAGAAATTTGTCATATATTTATATTATCCTCAAATTACACAATTATATACAATAAATTACACTAAAAAAAGTCATTGTAAATATAGTAATAAGTCATTCTAAATGTAGTTAGTAGACAGTGTAAGTACATAAAAAAAATTCAGTTGACATTAGAGGCCAAAACAAATATCACCTACCTTATTGGCGAAGATAGGGACGAGAGAGCTGACTTGAAGGTGGGCTTCGATGCTTGATCGAACGGTGGGAAAAATCGGATAGGGACGAGAGAGCTGACTTGAAGGTGGGCTTCGATGCTGGATCGAACGGTGGAAAAAATCGGTGCTTTCAAAAACACTCGAATACATTCACTATTCCTTTATTTTTAAGGACACCAGGCACATAATCTGTCGGACAGCACAATAAATTTAGTCGGCACCAAATTGCACAAAACTGAAGCATTACATTGATGTTCACATGATTGATTTGGCAGGGCAAGTGCAATTAGCAACGAAAATAACACGTCATTGCAAAAAGGCAATTGTCGCAAAAGTATTTATTCTTCAGCATTGACTATAAAATCAAGCCAGCTAAATAGCAAGTTCCAGAAACTTGCAACAACACTTCAAATCATCTGTAGCAAGGACTATGTCACCATGGCACCAGACCTTTATTCATCTTCTGTGCGGAAGGCTGCAGAAAGAACCAAGTTAGCATTGAAGAAATATACAAAAGCTATACATGCAAACTGAACACAATTCAGGTTCATACTCTATGATAGGAAAAAATTATCCGTGCCAATGAAAACTCATCCAGTTCTACATAGTATTGAAACGAACAGAAAAAAACAACCAAACAATCGAATACAAGCAACATATGAGGGCCTTACTTCGATAAAATAGATCATAGATGCAGACGCATTATATGCAACCCATTAACAGAGATACGACAACTGCCAATTGTTTACTTTGATATGCAAACGGTAATTGCTATGGATGATGCTTATATAAAACTGAGGTATCATGCGCTAAATAGTACTGCAATCTGTCAGCTGCTTTACTGAAGTGTTCACTATACAAATGTAAAAAGTTGTATGCATCCCTCTGCTACCATTGTTCAAGTTCTACATCACAAAGACAAAAAAAAAAAATCAAGGGATTTCACATAAGCATTAAGCACTGAAACAGAGAGCACAAGCATTCTCTAATCATTATGTAACTGGTTATCACTACTTGAAACATAAGAAGAAAAATTCATGGAATACCTTAAACGCAAATCATTGAATTTCATGGAACTACCTTAAACATAAAGCATCAAATTTTATAGAATAATTGATTGTCTATTATACAAGGATGCATTTTTCCTCATTGTGCATGGTTTTCTTTTGCAAACATTTGTGTGTGTCGAGCACACATGCTTGTATGTATGAGCAATGGAAGGTTTAACTGATTAAATGGTTGTTACTGTTAGTTTGTTACATTACAAAACACAAACAGAATAGCAACATGGTCAGGGAAGGAACATGATCACACGAATCAGGAAACACGATCAATCGCCATCCTTCAGCAGGATTTCTGGCACAATTAAACAATATACACATATTACATGTGCAATGATTTCCTCTAAGTTATCATCAGTAGAGTCTTACCGCCTGTGACCGGAAGGTCCCGGGTTCGAGTCGCGGTCTCCTCGCATTGCACAGGCGAGGGTAAGGCTTGCCACTAACACCCTTCCCCAGACCCCGCACAGAGCGGGAGCTCTCTGCACTGGGTACGCCCTTTTATCATCAGTAGGTTATTTGCTGTAGGAACACATTTTCTTCAAGGAAGTGCATCCCCATTCTAAACATAACAGTAATGCTACTGAAACATGTCATGGCAGTTTCAGTAAGTTCTAACATCACACTTCATCCTTAATTCCTTATGACGACACACTCTGTGTTCCATCTTCAAATTCAGATTTCACAATTAAATGTGGGAAAGTCACTTTATACTTCATATTCTCTAAAGTTGAGATCCAAAGATGCACATATGTATGATTCATCATGGGATGCATTCAGGTTTGACAAATAAACCACATTTTGGTGCTACATTTTTAAGCTCTACCATCGTCAACTTACTATCCATTTGGGACTTCTAGGTGGTTGGGTTTTACAGAATGCTGACATTTGTTACGATGTTTTCACCTTGCATCATCCAATTCAAAGTTTCAAACAGAACAGAAATACAAACCACTTTACAACCAACTACAAGATTTGATAAACGATTTACCACTTCCACAAAACCTGAAAATGTGATTCTTGAGTACTGACCGTTGACTACGGTGGCATCTTATGCGCCAACTGATTATTTACCTTCTACCCATCACATTTTGGCCAACTCCATCAATTACCACACTAGATCAGATTTACACCATCAGCAACTACGATTAGCCGTGAAACGAAAACGCCACCAGCACGCGAGCCAAAATGAGACAAATCACCGTCAGAAGTCAGGACCCCATCAGTGAACCACTAGATCAACCTAGACCTATATCCATGCTCAGCTTTATTAAGAACTAAATCGCAAACCCTAGGATCCTACCGTACCACATAACATCCAGGCAGATCGCGTTGAATCTAATCAAGGACGACGGACATGAACGCAACGGGTGAAGGAGAGGGTCGATCACTCACTGGGCTTCTCCTGCTTGCCGTCCGCCCACTTGGAGATGGAGAAATGGACCTTCTCGCGGGACGCGGCCTCGGACTTGAAGGGCTCCTTGAGGCAGTTCCGGACCAGCGCAGCGCAGATGTTGGAGTAGCCGATGTAGGTCATCCCCGCCGCCCGCCAGAAGGGCACCGCCGCCGTGGTCGCCGACATCGCGTTGCTTCCTCTTCGCTTCCCCTTGCGCCGCCGCCGGTGAGTGGATGGAGAATGGGAATGGGGAAGATGCGACCTAGTCACTCACAGCGTGGTTTTCTCACAGCGTGGTGTGGCCGAGCATTGGATTTGTAGGATCAAAGCCAACGGCCCAATAAGGATACCAGATACGGCCCATCAAGCTGTTTGATAGTAGGACTTCCATGTTTCCCTTTCGTTTCTTTCCATCTCTTCATTTTTTAATTTAAATTGTGATAACTAATTCATTTTTTACTAGGTTTACCATTTTCTATGAAAAGATTCGAACTATTATATTAAAATCTATCTAAAAATAATTCAATGCATCAGCGAAGCGCGCTTAACATTTTGTAAGTACTTTATTGAGATGTCTTTTTCATGTGCTCTCAACCTTTTTAAAAAACTTATTTCATCAATTTCAAATTTTATTTAAGTATTTAATGTTGAATTGTTGGTAAAATCGTAGTCCAAAAATGTTTGTTTGTTAAGGATTCAGAAACAATTAAACAATCATTCAAATTAGAGAAGGAAAAGTGAGCAGGTGAGGGATGACTAGTGGCCTTTGTTATCTTATTATATTTCTTTTTGGTTAACGATGCTGCAGAAATCAGAATCCACTTTGTCATGTAAGATGCGTCGGAACAGTTTGAGGGGAATATATGCGGGCTTTGGTTCCATGTTTTATTATTGTAGACTCTAGCGTGTGGTTGAATGATACCAGAATTCAGTGGTTTTCGCTAATCGGAAATCCCGAACCAGTGATCATTCAATTGAATGATAGCCGAAGGTTGACGGAAACGAATGCGGCCCACTGAACTGTGCCAACGGTAGCCAAAGCTCGCACAGCGACAGCACAGAAGCAGAGCTGCTTGCTATTCTCTAGCTTGCAGCGTGCCCGAAATCAACCAGGTGCACCCGGCCCACGGCTTGTGAACGTCGCGTCGCGTCCCCCTGGCAGTGGCAGCGCAACGAAGCGCGCCATACCGCTGGCCTCCCTTCCCTTCCCATTACCGCTGCCTACAAAAACCACCCCTTCCTCTACTCTCCCCAACTGCCTCGGCGTCGTTGCAGTCCCACTCCGCGACACCTCCTGGAAAATTTCGCGAAATCCAGGCCACACCAGCCACGCGGGGGGTTTCGTCTCGGCTGCTTGGGCTGCGTCGCGGAGTTGGGGGGCGGGCATGGGTAGCGCCGCGGTGGGTATGGACGTGGCGGCAGAGCTCCAGAAGGTGGCGAGCATGCGCCGTGACAGCGGCGGCTCTAGGTCGGGCTCCTCCACGTGGTGGCGTGCGCCCGACGCGTTCTCGCGCTCCTCCTCGCGGATGGAGGAGGACGACGAGGAGGCGCTGCGGTGGGCCACGCTCGAGAGGCTGCCCACCTACGACCGCGTCCGCCGCACCATCCTCCCGCTGGGTGGTGACGGAGAAGGCGATGGCCACAACGGCGGGGAGGCGGCCCTACAAGTGGTGGACTTGCTCGGCCTCGGCCCGCTGGAGAGGCGCGCTCTCCTAGAGCGCCTCGTGCGCATCGCCGACGAGGACAACGAGCGCTTCCTGCTCAAGCTCAAGGAATGCGTCGAACGGTGCGTGCTACTGGAGTGGACTGGACAGTGGACACACATATTGTCGGTGCTAAAAGTGACTAACAAGTAAATATTTGTAGTTTTGCTGTCGTTGTGATCGGATATGGCCTAGCACTCAATGACACATGGTTTATCCTGGTTCAGGCAACGTGCCCTACGTCCAGTTTCAGTCGGTCGGTGACTTTATTCCTGAGCCCAAGTGCTCGAAGTTTGCTATGGGGTTACAAACAAATAGAAATAAGAAGGGGGTGTCAAAAGTCCAGTCGGACTCTGGATCGAAGGGCCGAGAGTGACGGGAGCTTCGACGTGTGCTAAGTATTGGAACCTATGCTCTGTGTAGCTCTAGAGTTCTAGAGCTATGGAGCTGTTCGAGTGCTCAGAATGTCTAAAGCTTAGTCGAGACAAAGTCAGAATGAACCTCTTCCTTTTAGGAGAGAGCGCATCCCCTTTTATAAGTGAAGGGGACGCCCTTACAAGTTAGGAGAGAGAGAATGTGTGTGTTTCCTAGTCTTGTTGCCTACGCCGTTGGGTACAAGATAGTTTGTCAGCGCCCACAATACTGTTGACGTCCAGATGCATGTGGCAGACTCCATCGTGTTCTTCTGGTATGGCAAATACCGGCGCCTACCATACTGTAGGACAAATGTCGGCGCCCACAATAATGTTCATGTTCTGACATGTCTGAAAGGTTGCAAAAACACCCTTCTAGCATGGCTTGGCCATACTGTCCTACAGGTGTGAAGGGTACGGTCCTCAGTATTGTGGTTGACTTTGAGCGCCTTACCTTATCTGCTCCGCCTGCTTCTTGGGCCCTAACCGAGCGGGCGTCCCCGGTCGGTCGTTCCTAGTCAGCTCGGACTGCACCGGTCGGAGAAGGGCTGTAAGCAGAGGCTCGATGTATTCCCGGTCGGAAAAGCGGGTCGGAGTCGAAAGCGAGCGTCATCCCGTCCTTGGCCAGGCCTTCCAGTCGGAGACTGGATCGCTCTTTCGGCCTGTCGTTAGGTATCAGGGCCGGGCCAGGAGTTGTGCGTCATTGTAATGTCATTTGTTGGGCCAAGTTTTTACTGGAAAGCGGGCCCATCGGGGATCCTGGGTTTATGAACCCGACAGAAGCCCCTGAGCCCTTTTGCGACTTCTGTGAAGTCATGAAGGGGCTGTTTATACTCATTGTACGAGAGTACCAGATCGGTGTAAGATCGTGAGTCGCCGTTGGGCGCGACGGAGCGCGGACCCATGCGTCGGGCGTGGCCGAGGGGTCGCGTGCGACGGAGCATGGATCCAGGCGTCGGACCGATGAACCCGCATGCCGATCAGTAGTCGTACAGGTATAGGCAGCATAGTGACCATGCGTCTATCACTGTGGGGCGATGCGAGTCCCCTAGAATGTCATGTCACGGAGACGGGTCATGCTGAGATGCGACCGCTCCTTGTACGATGTCAGAAGTTTGACCTGGGGTTGTACTTTCTGGCCCGTAGTGGTTGGTGGCGGCGCGAGCTTCCGTTAGGGACCATGTCCGAGGGATCGGACGAAACGGGGCCAGCCCTCAGACGTCGGGCGAGGCGGAGCCAGCCCCCAAATGTTGGCTGAGGCGGAGCCTACCCTCGAGGGTCAGCCGAAGCAGAGTCAGCCCTTGGGGGTCGAACGAGGCGAAGCCAGCCCTCGGGGGTCAGACGAGGCGGAGCCCAGCATGGGGCGTGGCCTTGGTGGTCCTAGAAATTGCCTGGGGGATTTTTTGCCTTGCCAGCGGGTGTGCACGAATGCACCCGGAGGGTGTAGCCCCCGAGCCCCTAGGCGATTCGGGTAGAATCGCATGGGGGATTTTTCGATTTGCCAGCGGGTGCGCGCGAGCGCACCCGGTGGGTGTAGCCCCCGAGCCCCCGGGCGATTCGAGAAGAATTACCTGGGGGATTTTTTGACTTGCCATCGTTCTGAGCCATCATTTCCGGGGCCGCGGACCCAGGCGTCGGGCGCCAACCCAAACATCGGGCGCGGCCATGGGGTCGGGCGTGACGGAGCACAGACCCAAGTGTCGGGCATTGCCGAGGGGTTGGTCTGGTTTTGTGCGTTACCCCATCCACGGTTTCCGCAACCGGAGGGGCTGAGCTAACGTCGCTTGCCTCGATGGCTCGAGTGACGCGCTCGATGAGCTCTCTAACGGGTATGTCCGAGTGGAATCCGGGTCCGTCGTTCATGACGAGGTCGGCATAGCCCTCATGTGGCATTCCACTACTCCTTAACCCGCCTCCTAGCAGATGCCTGAGCCATTCCGGAGACCGACTCAGGTGGCCCACTGGCCTCCCCTCGATGGAGATTCCGTGGGCATGGCTCGAGGTTAGGATCGAACGAGAAGGTCAAGATGACCCTGTCTACTTCTGAGCAGATCAGGCGAGGGCCGCTGGGGCTCATCTACATTTTCTCCCCTAACTCTGTTTGACATGAGGTGGCCTCGAGCCCTTCACCAGCCAACCTTCGAACCCCGGTTGATCGTCGCTCATGTCGAATGAGGCGACTACCACTTCGTGACGCAACATGAAGTGTTGTGATGCATCAATTACATATGCAATACTTTGGATGTATGGGATGAATGAATGATTGCATGGATGAATGTGTGAATGCGTGTATGAGGAAGGATGAATGAATGATTATGCATTAGAAAATAAAATAAAGTATGAAGGTTTGGTAAAGATACCTTGATGATTCGAGTGGCGGGTTTGAGGAGCTCTTATTAGATATGTCCAAATGGGATCTGTGTCCATCATTCGTGACAGAGTCGGCGTAGCCCGCATGGGGTATCTCACTGCTCCTTACCTGTCTCTCGGTAGTCGCCTGAGCTATCCGATCAACTCAGGTAGCCCATTGGTCTTTTCTCGATGGAGATCCTATTGGTGGGCCATTCCAAACCCTGCTTGGGAAGGCGGAGGGTCACCTTGTTTCCTGCGCCTGGGTTGTGGTAGTGGTGGGCCCAACCCAGGCCACATCCCGTTTTAACCAGGCGATGTTTCATTGGGCAGGGCGCATCCCATCGCATGCCTTTCCGCATTAAATAGGGGAAGGGAGAGGGTTTTCATCCCATTCCTTTGCCTTTCTCCTCCTGCCGCCTTGCCTCCTCCTTCCTCCTCGCCAAGCTTGTTCGTGCGCTACGGCAGTTTCTAGGAGAGAGAGGGTAAATGTAACACCTCTGGTGTTTTAAACCCTAAAATATGCCATGTCATCATATGCATTGCACATCATTTTGGTGTTAGTGAAAACTTTGATATGCATTCACTAAAATAAGTTTATTTTTATGATTTTATGTGTTGACTTGTATGGATGAATCAAGTTCAAAACATTTATATTGAATTGGATTTCCGAAAACCCTAATTTCCAGCATTTAATTCTACCCTGGAAAACCTAATTCAAAATCTAAGCACATTTTGGGGTTGAGCCTAAAAGAGAAAGTGTAGAGGTTGTCAATATGTACAAAGTTGGTTTTTAGAGTTTTCAAAGTTGTTATGAAAAATTTGAAGTAATTTGAAAAGGGATAAATTCTTAAAGTGTCCCCTTTTGATTTTAAACTTGCATTTCAAAATGTAGACATAATTTGAGTATGGTTATTAAAGAAAAGTTGTAGAACTTTTAATTTGGAACAACTTTTATTTTTGGATATTTTTTAGTTACCATACAAATTTGGGAGTAATTTGAGAAATTAGGCGAGTGGCAATTCAACAATTAGTTGGAACAGTGCCAGCAGGCGACCCCTCACCGTCAGCGAGCTTCCATCGACTTCCAGGCGCGCCCGTGGCCATCTCCGGCTTCGCGCTGGCATGGGAAGGCTGCTGCGTGGCTTCTTCGTGCTTCTTGTCCGCGCTATAAAGCTTACGCCATCGCCGTCCTCCTCCGTTTCCTCTCCTCTGTTTTTCCCGTCGTCACCGCCCAACTCCGATGAGCTCGCACCGTCGCCGTAGCGCCCTCCCAGTCTAAGCAAAGCATGTCACCGCTCCGCCTGCTCATTACGAACCCAGCCGACCAGTCCTAGGAGCCTGACTTCGCTGGGAAACGTTGCGCGTCGCCATTTTTCCTCGCTGCCGGCCGCATCACCGTCGAGCTCGCTTCACCGTGGCCAGTGCTCTACGGTGCGTCCCTGCCCTTGCTAAGCATAGCTTTAGCTTCTCTGTGTTGCCGTGATGCTTTGTGTCATGTTAGTTGATCCGTTCATCCATTGCAACCACCGGAACGTCGTGCTTGCCGTTGCCGCCGTCGCCATCAACGCCGCCAGACGTGACCTTTGCTACCCACCGTCAACTGAACGATCTAGCACGATCTAGGTGAGCCTCTACTGCTATTCGAGTGGTTATATGAAGCTCTAGCGAACTCTAGTAACTTGAACACCGTGGCACCGTCGTGCACAGCTCGGCCAACCCACCATGGCCGGTGTCGAGCTCGGTTTGAGCCATGACTGGTGCAATTAATGCCACCAATAGGTGCGCCTTACCGTGGGGATCACGCTGGTATCTCGGTTGTGGCCGGAGACCTCACCGTCGGCGAGAAACCGCCGGTCAGCGAGCATCGCCGCCGTGGTCAGCGCGGCGGTACTGTGCCGACATGGGTGACCCACATGTCAGTGACCGTTTATTTGAAAATGAATTTTTCTATTTTGCAGAAATGAGTAAATAGTGCTATGATTTGTTATTTTTGTGTAGAAATAAATAGAGCTCCAAAAATTATGAAAATTGTTGTGTGACCTCTCTGAGATGTAAGCTATTTATGAAAAATATTAAATGTTACTTTTCAGTACATTTTAAATGTGATAAAAATTGCTCAAATTAATTAATAAATGGATTTTCATGATTTTTCTAGGCTTATATAATTATCCAAAAATTATGAAAATTATTTTGCCACTTAGTTATCATGGGTTGAGCCTTCACAAAAAAATTTGAGCTCATTTGGAGAAAGTTGATTTGTTTCATAATTTTGGATTAAATAATTATTCATAAAAACAAATAGTAAACCTTAATGACTT